ATTTATTTCAAAAATATTTTCACAGTCAAAATTTTTCTTCTAGTTTTTTTTTCAAAAATTTTTTTTTTCTTGAAATAATAATAACGCAGTTAATAATCTTCGCTCGCCTTGGTGGGAATAATAAATTATTTTCGTTTCAAAATACTTGAATAATTGTTTGTGTGACTATACGGAATGGAATTCGGTCTTCAAAAATTATTTTTTGTCATTTTTCTTCAGAAATATTTGCATGCCATCAAAAAACTCTGGTTTTGCAAGGCACAAGCGCCACTTATTTTGCCTGCATAATTTCGCTGTATAAAAAAAACGAGTTCAATGCAAACTCAAAATTATAGCATTTATGTGAAATTATAGTGTATTTTTTTTTTATCAAATATTGTGCAATTTATGGCACGCATCAAGATTTCCACTGTCAATAAGCGCTTCATAAAAACTTTAATTCCTTTTAATATTTTTTGAATGGCAGCAGATATGGCGCAAGTATAATGTTAAAGTTTTAGCACTTTGCTTGTGGAGCAAAAAGAAGTTTAGTGAATAATTTTTTTTTATACTTTTCGCTTTACTTGATCACTGGGTGAACTCTCGTTACGTGATAACTTTCCTTTTAAAGTGACTTCTTTTTGTTCGCTTCATTTACTTTCCTTGCTATTTCCATTGTTTTTGATTCCTTTCTCTGTGTTTCCATTTAACTTATTTCTGTTTTTCATTCCGTTGATTCGTTGAAGCAATTTTATATTAATATATATATATATATATATATATATTTATTAAGATTTATAATGCATTCTCTTTCCTTTCTCTTACGAAGAAGTTAATTTTTTCCTTCGATTTTCTTCTCTTCTCCCTGTCTCTTATACACATCTAGATGTGTATAAGTATTAAGATTTATAATGCATTCTCTTTCCTTTCTCTTACGAAGAAGTTAATTTTTTCCTTTGATTTTCTTCTCTTCTCCTTTTAAGGCACATTTTATATTATTAATTTTATCATTTTTTTGTTTTTGCATTTCGTTGCTGTTTACATTGGTTTTGGTATTTTATTTCATCGCTTTTGTGTTGTATTTAATTTTTACTTTCGATTGGTTCATTAACCATTTTTGACTCAATTCTCTTTCGACAATAAATTTTGAAAAATATAAAATTCTTTTTTTTTCTGATTAAAATATGAGAAACCTGTGTTTCCCTGAGAGAATTTTTTAAAATTTTTTCTT